GCCCCTGCTCCCTGGTGTGGACCTGGGAGTGCGCGAGCAGATACTCATACGGCAATTATGGCGGCTACTACTCGCAGTACCCCAGATGGAGCCTGGGCGGGAAGTGACCCCGTGCTCGGGAGGTGACCACGTGGCACGTCCGAGGTTGTGCATGTGCTGCCGCTCGGACCCGCCCCAGGCCGGCGCGCGCCGGCTGTCGAGCCTCGTACCACCAACTGTCAAGAGCCCCGGACGGATCGATTTTGTATTTGATCGAAAGCAGCAGCCTGCGACTGAAGACATCGCTCCATGTCTCGAAGATTGCATAACAACCCTACTTCTGATCCGCGCTCAGGCACGTGGCCGGCCTCGCTCCGCCGCCGGTGTCAGCGACGTTTGAATAGGACCCATCTCACAGACCTTTCCGCCCTCCTTCCCCGCTGATGCACCACCGGAGCGCCGGCGGTTGCGTGATTGTTCACGTGCGCCCACGCCTTGAAGCGCCGGGCGCGGCGTCGTGCCCCCGCGTGCCCAGCTTCCGCCTTGCCCACTGACTAATTCCCTTGCATATGTTTGTTAGAAGCCGGCTGCATGCATGCTTGATTTGTTTCTGCTTGCACAACCCCGCAACAATTTTGAAGTCGGGGCGTACAAGCTCAATGTAGCGGTGCGTTGCTGGCGCGACGTCAGTTGCGGTGCCCCCAGGCACTCGCAGCACCCGCAACAGCAGAGCACACGTGCTGCGTCGCACACGCCGCATATGCACGCGGCGTATGCGCAGCTTGGCAACGCAAGCACCCTCGAATGTGCGTTCTGGGCTGCAGCTTGTCAGATTGCCCCACATCACTTGCTCGTGGCACCTGTTTCCTAGCCAGCCCCGTTTCACATACACAACGTGCCTCCGCCTGAGCAAGACAGCTGGCAAGCCCTGTAACATGCAGCATCGAAGCTGCCCCGCTGCGCTTCCATGGCAGCTCGCAGCCCTCCACCGCAGCAGCAGCCCTGCTTCTTTGAGGCCCGTGTTGCCGCTGAACTTTGCCCAAGGGATCTGGTCCCACATCATGAATGCGTATGATGCGATGGGCACTCCCCAGTGACTACACAGCCACTCCATAGCGAGTCACCGTCACCATGTGACACCATGTGTTTACAATCAATGGCTGACGCCAGCCGCAGACATCGCAGCATGCGCCTCTGCTGGTCCCAAGCAGGCAAGCTTGCACGCCGCACCCCTGCAGCCAGACGACGAGCAGCGACGGTTTTGAATCAAACAACCAAAGCCAGCCGCAGGCCGGCCGAGCTGGTTCCTTTGCAGCGGCTGCTGAGGGCTGCGCCCGCCTGCCCGGCTCACAAGAAGACCGGGCCGGCGAGCTCGGGGGTCAAAATCAGCCGCGCGACCGCCCCGCCAAACAGCAACACACCCCACACCCCGCATGACATCACATGGCATCGTTTGAGCAGAGGCCCCCGCGCGAGCGCAGGGGCGGGGCGGCGCTCAGTGGCCGGCGGGCTTGGCGGCGGCGGGGGCGGCGGCCTTCACGCTGACGCAGTTGGCCTTCTCCAGCTTGACGCTGTCGCCGATGGCCCAGGTGTCTGCGGTACGGGTGACAGGTGACGGGTGACAGGGCGGGTGACAAGAAGGGGGTAGGGGAGTGCATGAGGTTGCTGAAAGACAGCTGCCACTAAAGTTGGGGTCGCGCGGGCGCGCTGAAGATCGGTACAGGCGAGAAGAAGGCGTCAGGCGTGGCTGCTATAGCAGGGCCCGCGGCCCCGCCGCAGCAGGCGGCGGCGGGAGCGCGGGGCAGCCGCCGTCGGCGCGCACCCTGCACGCGGCTGACGCCCTCTGCTTGGCCGCGGGCGCCGCGACCTCGCAATCGCGCGAGCGTTAGGTCGCCGCGCCGCGCCCCTGGCACCGTCAACTTCATCGTCACTGGATTTCCCACTGAACTTCCCACCGCCCACCAGTGTACTTCTTGATGCACTTCTTGCCGTTGGACGAGGAGAACCAGCCGTCCTTGGTGTTGGCGGTGCAGGCCTTCAGGAGCTGCGGGCAGGATTCACCAAAACAAAACCGTTGGGAGGAGGTTTCAGGATGGGAGGGGATGTGGTTGTGGGGAAGGGAGGCAGAGCGGTGGGCATAATTGCTGCGACAAGAAACGCCACGCGGTTTGGAGTATGGGTCCCAACGCCGGGGGCGTCCAGACACGCAGGGGCCCGCGGAGCGCTCTTGCCGCACCGGTGGGCGACGGCGCCGGCATGCGATGCAAAGCGCAGAGCGCAGTGCACCGCGCTCAGCTGCGGCGCGCGATCGCGCCTGCGCCAACCCCCTGATGCTTTGCAAGCACCCCCCATGCTTCCTCGCGGCCCCCCCCGCTCGCTTACTCGTGTCGCGGCGCAGAGCATCGCTCGCAACACCACCGCTCCACCCGCAGCTCATATCCAGCATACGCTGGTTTTTTGAGGAGAGAAGCTGCCCGGCAGCTACCCACCGGCTTGCCGTCCTTGGTGGGGCCGACGCACTGGAAGCTGGACACGGACTGGTGGTTGAGCAGGCTGGACTGGCCGATGGTACCGCTGTACTTCACCTGCAGGTTACGCCGGGTGACACGGGGCGAGTCGGGTGACACGGGGGTTGCGTGGGGTTACTCTCGGGGGGAGCGAGCGCGAAAGCCGCTGGCAGCATGGGCGGGGGGGCAGGGGGGTGCCGGGCAGAGGCGCGGGGGCGGTGTGGCGTCAG